AACACTGAAAAGTCGTTGGTTCTCATCCGTGCGACCATTCACGGACAAAGTCTCGAGCGGGGCCATGAAAGCCGGAGGTACAAAGTCAGAAGGCTCACCGAGACCACCACATATGAATTCTACAACTCCATTCATCATCTCATCAACTCTGAAAGTGTTCCCCAAAAGAATCCCAAGACAAAAGTGGGTCATCCCAAGTCTGATCCCACATATGAAGTTCATTTACCGCGTTGATCGCCCATTCGCTCCACTCAGACCAGTCGTCAGACTCACCAAAGTAAGTCGAATCGCCTTGGTCGTCATTCCGACCAGCAAACCGAAGTAGAGCTAGAAGTGCCTTCTCCTCTTCCTTTTCCTTTCATAAAGTTCCAAGGCTGTTTTTCTTTTCCTTGTGACTTCGAAAAGTCCTTTCCTTTTCCTTTTCCTCCTTTCTTTCCTTTGCCTTGTCCTTGTCCTTTCCACAAGGTTTCTGTTAAAGCGCCTATGTCCATGGGAGCCGAAGCTCCACCTTGGAAAGTTGCATTCGCCGAAGTTTGTGCAACTAGGTTCATCAAAAGTCGAGAGCCATGGTATTCAAGAATAACCTCGCGCACCTGAGCATAAGTTTGCAAAGTTCGAGCAAACCTCAGATGTTGCTGCAGAACTCCCGTTGCCTTGTTCAGCTGCTACAAGTACACCATCAGATAAAGGTACACTTGACTGTCGTTCATATCTCGACTTGATTGTTTTCCAAATGTGACAGTCCTGTTCGAAGGTTGCCGAGTTGAACTTGAAGTCCAAGAGCTGCGTCAAAAGTGAAATGCTCCTCGAAGCTCCTGGCAGCGAGAACTTCTTGAAAAGTCTCCTCCAGGTCTCAGCCGTTGCTGTCTTCGTTTTGTCGAACTATAGGTTTGGCTGAACGTTCTATAAGCTGAAAAATCGAATAATGTCGCTTCCGGGAGAAAAGTGCTCGGGCTGCGGTTTGCTCGGCATCAACATCACCTGTGCCCAAAGTGACGCTCATATCTTCATCAAGAAACTCATCATGCCTAGCTTCTGCATTGTCTAGCAAAGTGACAGCACCTGTCTCGAAAATCGAAAAGTAGGCCTTGAAGTTCCAGGCCCATTCTTCCCAGTCGGCAGGATTGCCGTTGAAAGTCTCAGGCAAGGGAAGCCGAAGCTTTCCTGTAAAGTCTCCTTCGCGTCCTAAGGCCATGTCTTCTCACCAAAGCTCCGCTACCATGCGAAAGTACAACGTACTCAGATAGCACACTAACAATACTATAAAGTACTGCGTGCACTGCTCACTCAACCTCAGATCAAAGTAACCCTGAAGGTCACGGAGCACCTCTTTCCAGGGATCACACAAAGTGGGCACAAGCACACAAAAGACCGCAAGGGTTTTCGCAAGGAGCGTTTAATTAAAATGTGCTTTTAACCCACGCCTGCCAGCAAATTGCAAGAATGTGTATTTATGCTTGTTGAAGGGACTATGTAGGATCATCCTGCCTTGAAGCTTAGGGCGTTGCTGTAAATACCAGTGTTTTGGGCGTGGTCGCGAAAGGCATAGACGCTTGTTATAGATTTTTTGTTCCACATCCTTGCGCAGTACGTTGTGCAAAGAGGCGTAAACGCTGTAAATACCAGTGTTTTGGGCATAGTCGCGAAAGGCATGGACGCTTGTGATAGATTTTATTTTTCCACATCCTCGTGCAGTATGTTGTACAAAGAGGCGAAAACGCTGTAAATACCAGTGTTTTGGGCATG